ACCTTTCTCGGCCTTTTGGCTAAGATCAAGTGTAGTATCTGTTGATACTGTTCTGATCAGTTTAATATCTGACCCCTCGTCCATCGGACCACAATTAAAAAAAAAAAGAAAAAAAATGGAAAAGAAATGGGACAAAAAATGAGCCTGGGCCTAGAAAGTGGCCATCGCCCTCCAGGCAACCCAACTCAGCGGATGTGTGGCCTGGGGTCAAATGCAGAAACTTTGGGCCTCCAAGGGCCCGTGTAGTAGGCCTATGCATGCTACACACACACACACACACACACACACACACACCAGTTTGAAGGGGTTAAGCAATTCCATCCCACTGCAACCACTGACTGTCAGTCTAATGTTTCCTCGGAACGCATGGCTGTGGAGGGCTGCCACTGATCATCTCCCAATATCCTCCTCCTCCTCCTCCTCCGCCGCCGCCGCCTTCATAAAACAATAGTACCTCTCCCAGCCATCGTGTTCCAGGCCGAACTTCCGTGTCATTTGCACACAGCCACAATTTACGGGCGCTCAGCCTGCTGGACCTCTTCAGCTGGTGGTGACGGCCAAAAAGGAAAAGAAAAATGCACTGTGCTGGTTCGTTTTCTATTTGCCGCGCCGCACAAAACCCGGTTGGGAAAGAGAGGCTTGGAGGTACGGGTGGTTGAAACAATCCTTACACATGATTCAGACCTTTTACAAGTTGCATGGACGCCGTGGTTTGACATTCAGCTAGTATCGACAGGCAGCTGCTAATGAAGTGCCCTCTTTTTTTTGTTTTTTTTTTGGGGGGGGGAGGTATTCTTAAATGCTTTTACATGCAATATCGACTTGCTTGTTTTCTCTGCATCGAATATTTTTTTCATCACCTCGTTCTGTTCACATACCTGACCCTTGAAATTGCGTGGGTGCCAGATCTTTCGAAACAGCTCGCCAAAGCGTTGGACTAACGGCGATCTACAATTCTTGTAGTTTCCTGGGATCAGGAAAAAGTCCCTCAGCTGCGTCACCCTCATCAACGACTGAATGATGACATTGACAAAGTCTGTGTCCTTGATGTTGTTCAACCCTACCTGCAACCATAATCCAGGACACGCTGCCAATCAACCATTTCCATTCAGACAAAAGCCACAGGCGAGCAGAATATGAATCCTACCAACTCCTTTGCCAGAGGCTAAAGATTCAAAAGGTCCATAATCCAAAAAATAAGTCCACAAGTACCAATGGGCCCTGCTGTAGTGCAGTTGGTACACCCTCATGAACCTTCGAAATACAGACCTGTGATCGAACCCAGATGCAATCAAAATAATCCTGAATTACCTACCTGGGGCCCGTCAGCTCGATGATGATATCTCAAGGTCGTTGCCCTGCCAAAAAAAAAAAAAAAAAGGTGCACCAAACAGCATACAAAAGTGTCCAAAGCACCAGCACTTACCATACCACAGAAAACCACCTTCCAGTATTAAAAAAAAAAAAAAAAAGGATAGTAACCATACTTGCGGCGCATTAGTGCAGTGCGCAATGCGGTGCGCTGCGCCGTGCGGAATGCGCGCGGTGACACCGCGCGCGCATGTGCGCGCACACGCGCACGAGGTGCGCCGTGCGTGCAGCGCATGGGGACGCGCTACCCCTGCACGGTGCGCACTGTGCGCGATGCCTAGTATTTTCGGTGTGTGTGTGTGTGTGTGTGTGTGTGTGTGTGTGTGTGTGTGTGTGTGTGTGTGTGTGTGTGTGTG